AATTTTTTTTAAATTTTGAGACAGGGTCTCGCTAAGTTGCCCAGTCTGAGCTTGAATTTGCAGTACTGTTGCCTAAGCTCCCTAGAGTGCTAGGATTACGGGTATGTCACTGTGCCCAGCTTTCATGGTTCTTTAGTACTGCTCCAAAGCACATAGCACAGTGATGTCTATTTAATATTCCTAAAATGTCCTTCAAATCAGGAACTTATGTGCGTATATTTGGGGAAAGAAAATAGCTCTATTTCTAAAAAAAAAAGAGCCTTGACCTACTTGAAAGCGATGATATTCGGGTGCTTCAACTTCCGCAAATGCTTGATATCCGTCTCATTCTGTTCTCTCACTTTCTTGATGGCCACCTCTTCCGCTCGGAATTTTCCCAGGAAGACAGCGCCCTGGGCTCCGCTACCCAGCCACTGTAGCTCTGAGATCTCCTCAAATGGCACTTCCCAAGTATCTAGGCACACAAGGGGAAAACCAGCTTGATAAGATCTTGGAATCTGCTCAGGGAGCATTCTACTAAGTCATGCTGAAGGCACCAATTTCATCATCCCCTGGAGCCACCCCCACCCTCTGACTCCGCCCACCAGATACGATCTTTCTATGGGCCTTGGAACTACAGATCTCACATTGATACATCTTAGTGTGCATCCTCGGTTTAACCGCCTAAGACAACAGATTGGAGAGAGCTCCAGTACATTCTCCTCCCGGCAAACAGCCTAACGTGCCCCGACCCAGCCTCCCCAGCTTAAACTTGCATGCTCAGTTAACTTTCTTATCTCCCTCAACACCACTATTCCCACCCCATAACCCTTATGGGTGTTTTATTCCTTTGTGAGTTCTCAGTGCAGATGCTCGGTGAATCCTTACAGCAACATTCTTCCAAGAACCTAACTACGCATAATACTTCTGTTGGTATTTACCTTCTGAGGACTTCCACCAGGCACCAGCGTAGTGCTTTACATATAGTGTATGTTTAACGCCTACAGCAACCCTGAAAGTCTGGCCTGACTATACGGCAGTATTAAAGATTAGGAAACTAGGGTGGTTAAATGAATTTCCCAGGGTCCTAAGTGACAGGACGGGGCCCTGAAATCTCATTACAGGATTTTCAAGCTTTTCTTTTTCTTAAGAGTTTACTTTCTTTTTGCACCAAAATTTAACAGGGGTCATTTCTAAGTGATGACACTATTTGTGATGCATGTTACGTTTCTTCTTCCTTTTCTATATTAAAATATATATTTTTTTACCATAAGCCTATGTCACTTTTATAATGAATTTTATTTTAAAATAAAGCACTTCAAAAAATTCACTCAATATGTACTTTTAATCTCATACAGGGTAACAATGCAATCCATGAATCCTCCTCTTTGTCCGCCTTTTTACCAGAGCACTAGTACAGGGAAGAAGGGAACATCAGAGCTCCAGAAGCCCCATGGAGTGAGGACCAGGGTGATGACAATGCTGAAGGTTATGAGAGATTCTCATCAGAGCACTAAAAGGTCACTGTTTGCAGAACAGAAAATAAAGTAGTGTTGGGTTGACTTTGAAGGCATTCTGGTCTTGAAAGCAAATCAACCCATTGTCTACTATGTCGATGAAGCAAGAGCAGAAACACTTTGTCAGGTTCTTAATAAAATGTGATTTCTCATTACAATGACTAAAAGTCGACCTTCATAATACAGCTACATGGGGCCGAAAAATACTCATAGCGAAGGTGTTTTACAGCATGGGCATTCATCCCATTCTTCGGATAGAAGCAATGTTAAAAGTTTCTACTCTATTGCAAATGAGTAGATGTTATATAAAAACAAATCTTTCTGAGATACAAGTCACTCACAAATACGAAATCACCAAAGGAACAGGTGACACCAAGTGAGATTTGGGAGGAAAGAGCAAGTTATGGGCTTAACTGTTTTGAATATATTTAGGGCATCTATGACAAATACTAAATGGCTTGTGAAATCTCCCTTTCGCTCCCACAGACTTCTTCCTGTAGCTCACAGACATCGATAGCACATTATAAAAGAATTTTCCATGAAGAACAAACAACAGTATGATTTTGACCACTCTGGCAGCTAGATAAAATACTATTACTGAATTCTGGGATGGTATGTCTTTTTTGTTTTGTTTTGTTTTTCTCCGGTACCAGGAATCGAACTCACAACCTTGTGCTTGCCAGGCAGGCGCTTTTGCCGCTGAGCTAAATCCCCAGCCCCTGGGATGGTATGTCTTTAAACAACTTTATAAATGCTCTAGTTGGCTTAATTTTTAACACAACTACCTAAACTAGTCTAAATTTTGGGTGTCCTTTTCTAAAGTTTTCTACTTTATTCATGTATTATGTATTCTTCATCATTTAAATTTGACTTTTTTTCTTTACATTATCTCCCCAGATTCACTTCCTAGGTTAAAGAGTAAAATGTTTCCTGGCTCTTGGAATATATCTATTCTAAAATGCTACCCAAGAGGATTTTGCTAGTTTCTGTTGATAGTAGTGAAGTATGAAGATTGTGGTCTTAAGTCTGCTAGCAGTATTATCAATTATTTTTTGGTTCTCACTTGACTAAGTGTTTTATAAGTTTGCACTAGTTGGCCTGAAATAAAGAATATTTTCTTCCCATTTGTTTAATACGTTTGCTTTCTATTAATTGTGAAAATCTCCTCGGTCAATTATTTATTAGTGTCTCACAGTTCTTATAAATTTGAAGAAACCCTTTCTGTTTCTTTGATACAAATGAAGAAAATATTTTTACAAGCTTTTTTCTTCTAGGTTTATTATTTTGGAACAAACTTTTATATAATTTATCATTTCTTTTGTAATGGTCTCCACTGCCTAATCTATCTTTTAAAAGTTATCTGTATTTATTTTTAAAAAATTAACCTTTATATACATCTGGATTTTATTCTGGTGTATGGTGTGAGGACGGATGTAAATGAATTTTTAGCCATACTGTTGTGATTCCATATCAATATGTTAAATAATCTCTTTTCATACTGCTTTGTAATACTTATGTTATAGTTACTGTACTTTAAGAAACAGTGCCTATTTTTTAGTATTTTTATAAAATGAGAAATACATGGATTATTAAAAACACATGACAAATGCATTTGGCATTTAGGTATCAACTGTTCCAAATATGATAATAAAGAATAAAATTCTTCTAGATCAACAGTGGTTCATGTCTGTTATTCAGCTACATTCAGCCAAGCCTTCATTATTCAAGAAAAAGTAAAGGGTATGGCATTGATAATTCAAAAACATAGAAATTAAACTAAACAAAGCAATGTTTCAGTGTATTTCCATCAGTCTTTCTAGTAGAACTAATTGGCAGAAGGAAAATTCACTGATGTAAATTTAGTTCTCTCTGACTTATCTCCCAGTCTATGTCCACACTTAGTAGGGAGCCAAGGGATGGGACAGTGGGACAAAGAGGGAGGTAATGAAGGTGTGTAAAACTGCACACCTACGTAAGTATCAAGCGAGGTAACTAACCCCTAACACAGCACTAGCTGTACTCTTTCTAGGGCTAGGTGTTTTGCTGCATTTATATCTGTCCCACTGGTACTGTTTTGCAGCTTTTACCTTGTCTTCATTACTATAGTTACCATCTTTATTTGAATGACCTCTACACCTGAGAAAAACCCCAATGCTCACCCACTCTAAGGTGAAACTTCATTTATTTGTTCATACGCGGCTATCAAAATGCCTGCTTTGAGACTGGAAACTTTGGCTATAAAAGATTTCAGTAACCTGCACTACCTTACTTCGGCTTCACTCTTCAAATTCTCAAAGGGAAACGAGGATATCATTAAAATTTTAAAAATCTAGCGAAATTCCCTCCTAAGTACTAAATGTAGGGTCACACCTGTTTGTCACTGATGTTATCCTCTGATGGACTGCAAGGCAGGATTAACGGTTAGGCTCCCTGATCCCAGAACTGACAAGGAAAACGCTATGTTCAGTTTCTGGCTGGCAGATCTCTTTTCAGGCCAAAGCAACACCAGCCCTCAGGAGGATATCCTGCAGTCTGCTAAAGACTGGGGCATCTGCTGAACCCTTGTAAGTCTTAAGCTGATGAGATCTGTTTTGTAATTATTCCTGAAAGAAGCCTTTCTGAAATCGCATGATCTACTGGGAGACAAATTCAATGCAAATTTGTAGAACAATAAACAAATTAAAAGGCTCCTTTTAGCGGACGTATTGGATGTATCTGTTGCCCCTGTTTATAAATTGGATGCATTTGAATATTGAAACTTCCAAATTATCCCCCAAATAAATACAATAATAGGCAAGTAAAGACCCTAAAAACCAAATGCAGTTTATTACATAAGTAGATATATGTGAGTTGTGTGTCTAAGCAGTGAATAGGGAACTTTTTATTTTTTTAATTTTAATTTTAATTTTTTTGGTTTTTTCCTGGTACTGGGAATTGAACTCACGACCTCACACTTGCCAGGCAGGTGCTGTGCCGCTGAGCTAAATCCCCAGCCCCTAGGGAACTTTTAAAAAAGAATAAATTAAAATATGGTTATTAAGAATGGATTGTGGGATACAAAGTATTTCTTATTTCCCTGCTTATGCTTTTATGTTTCCCCACTTTTTATTTTTATTTATTTATTTATTGTTTTTTTTCCGGTACTGGGAATTGAACTCATGACCTTGCACTTGCCAGGCAGGCGCTGTGCCGCTGAGCCAAATCCCCAGCCCCTTTCCCCACTTTTTAAAGGAATAATATTGTTTAACATAAGTGTGACAAAGAACAACTTTAATTTCCATAAAACCTTGAAATCATGGAGCAGGACAGACATTGGCCGGGACTGGAATATGTAGGAAAGAGACAGATATACGACACAGACAAAGAATTTCTACACAGAATAGAAAAGGATGCTGTGGTAGACAAGTCCTGAAAAGCACCCGAGATTGCTAAATTTACCCGTAAACCCCAACATACTTATGAGGAATGAATACAGGAAGCTGGTATTTGGGTGAAGAGAACGTATTTCAGAAACAGGAGAAAGCAATACATGGGAAGAGGGGCTAATGTGATTGACGTCAAAAGGCTGTTCTGGAAAAGCTGTTAATAATCTCAACTAAAAGAGATGAATGGGTTTTTAAGGGAGACTCACAAAGTCCAAAACTGAGTAGTCACAAAATAAACAAAATAATCTCAGTTCTGGTCTATATTTTTTCCTTCCAGAATTTCTTGACAAGAGAATTTTAAAAAAAACCAACCAAGTCATTTAAACAATGCCACTATGATGCATATCAAAAGCCCTAAAAACAACACGTCTTTTCAATCCAATTCATCTAGGAATTTAAGGACTAATCAAAGATGTGTGCAAAAAAGTACTAGACAAAGGTTCATTGCAAGGTGGCTTCTGATCACTAAAAATACAAACAAATAATCTAGCAATACGGGATTGCTTAAATAAATATTGGCACATTTAGACAGTTTAGTATTATGGAAGCCACTAAAATGATGCTAACTTTTATATTTAATAAATGAAATATATTCACGATATGAAGTGAAAAAATGTTACAAAACAGTATGATTCAATTTTTTAAAAAGTATGTATACATATACAAGTAGACAACATAATATATTCTTTTTCCCCCCTAGTGCTAGAGCTCAAACCAAGTGTCATGTGCATGTTAGACAAGTGCTCTACCACTGAGCAGCAATCCCCCCATTTATAACCCTAAATTTAATGATGGTTATTCTCAAGAGGATGAGGACCACAGATATTTCAACTTTCTTGCCTGAATTTTCAACATTTTATACATATATTACTTTTGTTATCAAAAATGTTCTTTTAAAAGTAAGCTGTAAAGAACAGCAAGGCTATGTGTGCCTTCTAATTTAAAACCATAATAACTTGGATGGAAGTATCTGGGTATACACGTTACACATGACAGAAGTTAAAGATGTACTACTTGAAAAGGTGTGGTGTCTAGAAATAACCTGTTTCTCAAGATTGGTTAAATATTTCAAAATGTGAGTTTCTATACCTTTACTATAAGATAGTAATTCCTTTTTATTATAATAAGGTAGTTCTGTCATCTTCTGGGGCATTACCACATGGCTCTGTCTAGTTTTGAGTTAGTCCACTGGCCATCAAACTTTTTTTGAGAAGAGGTCTCACTATGTTGCCTAGGCTGGCCTCAAACTCCTAGGCTCAAGTGATCCTTCTGCCCCTACCTCTGAGTAGCTAGTATGATGTGCCACTGAACGCAACTTCAGTCATCAGTAATACAGATTCTGTAGTCCTATCAGTAAATATATATGGACTACTGGTAAAAAAAATTTAAGCATGCACTCATGAACTGATTTATTTATAAATTATATACCTGCACAACTATACTGGAATACCAAATAGATCTGCAGACATGCATGAAAATGGAAATTAGAAATGATGAGATAAACAGGAGCTCTGATATTCTCTTCTTACAACTCTTGCACTGTCTTGCATAAATTCTACTTTGGATACCATAAGACTGGACAACCACACAAGATGAGCTCCAACCAAAAAAGATCCAGCAAACGTGAATTTGTTCCATTCAGAAGGTCTAAAAGGATAGGTAGTCATTTGACCTAGTTTTTGAATTTACCCACAAGTCAAAGATTATCCAATTAATAGCGGTAGCTGTGGTGGTGATGGTGATGGTGTGTTTATGAAAGAAACACCTTCCAAGTCCACATATTAGCTTACCTTGCTGCTGCAATTTGTAATCAGTGGAATACGCCTTCCCAATGATATTCCACACTGGCCTCAAGCATCCAAACAGTCCTTCAAGAAACCCACCGCTGCTGCTGCCTGACCTGCTGAACTGAATCTTGATGTCTTCGGTTCCGCTGGTGTTCTCCCCTTCCACAGTGCTGCTATTCCCCTGAGATACAGCTGTCTCCGATTCATCTTGTTCCCTCAGCTGAAGAACACTATTCTCAAACTGGTCCCTGGAATCCTCGCTTACACTAGTCAATACCGTGGTGGTGACAGGGCTGCTCACGCTCTCGGTGAGATCTGTTCGCACAACCCCCTTTTCCTGCTGGTCCTCAGGGAGCCTGAGTGAGGGGTGGTTCCCCATAGCTGCGAGCTCATCTTGTAGTCCATGGAAGGCTTTGTTGTCACTCAAGGTTAAGTGCGGAGAGGAGGAGCAGCTCAGGTGCTCCTGAGGGCTGGCCATGGTGCCATGAGTGTGACCAAGGTGCTGAGATGACACTCAGAGGATGATTAGGACGGAGGTCTGGTGCAAGAGAGGTCACGAAAACCTGGCAAAACAAGAGAAGGACATGAGCTACTCTTTCTTGAGCATCCACACTGCAGATCTCCTCTTAGATAATTAAAACATTGACATGATATGAAAGGTTAAGCTGAAGTTTATTCCACACGATAAAATTCTGCACAGCAATGAAAAATGATGTTGTAATAAGTATTTACTACTATGAGCCAATGTATGATATATTACTATAAAAATATTGTATAGAACAATACATAGAATTACTATAAAAATATTGTTAGAACAATACATAGAATGGTAGCTTGAAAAATTTATTTGACAGGATATGCAAGCACACACAAGAAAATAGTTTGGAGAGATAAAACCAAAGAATTAACAATGGTTAATTTTAGGTGGTTAGGTTTGGAAGAGATTTATGTTGTGATTTTCAAGGTATTCTAAGAATTCTGTTTTAGTAAGTACACATGCAGAGTAAACTAGCCTTGGAGCATAAGACTAATTTTGTCATCCAGGCGCATAAAAGTGGGTCTGTCAGATCCATGTTTTTTCTTTAGACTATTTTCATTGATGAATTATTAATTTTAATTTTATGACTTTTATTATATGGAACAATGAGTACCTAACAGGAAAAAATCAGAAAAATAAAGTATTGACTCTTTAATATTTATTAAGTGTTTATAACAAAGCATCAAAATTTTCAACATCAACTGGATTTTGGTGTACAAAGTCTAAAAAACACATCAGAAATAAATTTTCATATGAACTACAAAGAAAATACCAATGGCACTCCATAAAAATCTTTACTTCAGTTGTTCACCTAAAGTGGTCTGCACACCTGACAACAGTACATTCTATGCACACATTACAGTGATAGCACATATCTTTTGCTTTCTTGCCCCCCCCCTTTTTTTTTGGTCTTTTTGAGACAGGGTTTCACTATACTGTTCAGGTTGGCCTAGAACTCACTTTGTAACCCAGGCTGGTCTCAAACTCATAGCAATCCTCCTGCCTCAGCCTCTCCAGTGCTGGGATTACAGGCATGTGCTACCATGCCTGGCTTCCTGGTCTTTTTGTAGAACAAACTTGACATCTTAGTGGTCTTTCTGTTTTGTCAGCAGGTTCTTACTATATTATACAGTGTGTAATTAACAGGAACATAAACCATCAATAAAATAAATTATTAAATTCTTGATATGTATTGTGCATTTAGAATAGACACCAACATTTTCACATCAGCTGTGTACTTACTCACAAAACCTAAAATATAAACATCAGAAATAAATTCTTATATGAACTACAATCAAAATACCAGTAGAACTCTACCACAAAAATAAGCTTTTCTTCAACTGCTGTACCCGAGGCAGTCTTCACACGTGACAATTGCATGTTCCATACACAAGTATTGATTTAACTGACAGTACATATGTTTGTCTTCCTACACTTTCTTGTAGGGCACAGTTGATGTCTCCTTTGTTCCTATTGTTACCGTAGGTCTTGTGATGCCGTGCCTGCCCGCTCACCTGTCAATTCACCAGTGTGCTCCATAATTTTTTTTTTGCATTGTTCCCTGTGCAGAAGCATTTTCTTTTTCCTCTGCTGTCAATGATCTCTTAGGAGCTCCAGTCCTAATCCTCTAAGAAAATTTTTCTGTGAGATTTTGCATTTGTTATTTTCTTTGTAAAATATCAAACTATTTATATCATGCATGTTTAGGATTGAGTAAAACACAAACTTTGGCCGATGCTTTGCATTTTAAGTGACATCATAGTTGCTGCATAACTCATCAACAACATCTACTCTATGTTCAGCTTTGTTGCTGAAAGTTTCCATCTCAGTTTTCTGTGGTGTCAAGGTTTCCCTATCAATATTTCCATCATGGTGAAAGGTTGACATCAGCAGTACCAGTTTGCTTTCCTTTGCCATATATGAAGCCAATGTTATATCTTTCTGAAATTCAAAGGCTGTTCTATACAATTCTCTGTTTTGAACTTGCAACATTTTATTTGCAATTTCTGCTTGTTCCTGTGTACAGCTCCTGCGCTGGTCAGTTTGTGCTCTGTTAGCAAATGTAACATCAACTGGAAACTGGTTATGCAATTGTCGAATGTCACAATACGATTATTTTGGGAGATGGGAGCAACACGTCTGTTCATGACATCATTCAGTTTGTTACTATATGAATGAGGACCTGATGGCTGAGTTCCAGGATAAATGTCTGAATTGAAAGCGTATATATATATATATATATATATATAGATAGATAGATAGATACTTTTTTTTTTTTTTGGTCTTTTTGAGACAGGGTCTCGTTATGCAGTTCAGGCTGGCTTTGAGCTCACTTTGTAGCCTAGGCTGGTCTTGAACTTGCAGCGATCCTCCTGCCTCAGCCTCCCAAGTGCTGAGATTACAGGTGTGCGTCACCACGGCTGGCTATGTCATAGTTTGACCCAGTGTTTTTTCCATAAGTCTTTTACATTCCTGTGATCACCATGAGAAATCTGTGCTAAGAACAGCAGACCTAGGAATGCTTTCTGTTCAGGTAGTGAGGTGTCATAATAAATATATCTTTGAATATGGCTATGGGTACATGCAGAATGTTTTACTTACATTTCAGACTGTATTTCACAGCATCTTGTAGCATTTCAACTGTTATAATTTCCAACCCTGAATGGCAGTGCTGCCATTCTGTCCAATATATTTCCCTCCTGCCAAGACCTTTCCTGTATTTTCAGACCTAGTTCTAACAGTGGATCAATCCATTTGGATGTGTGGACTAGTCAAATAGGTACTCATATTGCTGTTTCAAGGAGGTCTGCATTCGCTGTGTCTATATCAGTCAATTCTTGCTCTACTTCACTGTCACAGGAACTTTGGCTCGCACGGCCAAGGTCAAAGTCATTGTTGTCACCACCACCACCAACATCATTACCATCGTATCATACACCCACAACACTCTTCTGTTATGAAAGCGTGTATTTTACCATAATTTTGACCTCCTCCCAAACTTGCAGATCTGGTTCTTCATTGTATTGAATTGGGATACTTCTACCGGAAAAGTCAAAAGAAAACTTAAAAAAAAACACACACACGCAAATCCTGGAGTGGTGTGGGTCTATTGAACCCTCTGTGATGCTCAGGTAAACATATGCAAAACCAGTAAGACAGAGCATAAAGGTGGGTCTAAACCCCATTTTGACACTTTTGCACTCATGCACACTCCTTGCTGTTTGTCATATCAGGAGGGTAAACACATACATTGCTTTCTGTGTCCCTATAATGCTAAAGTACAAATGTACAGGAGAAAAGTAAGGTGTGGGTCCGCTGGATCCAGACTTATGTCCTGAGGGCCAGAAAGCTTTTGCACAGCAAAGAAAACAATCGGCAAGGTGAAGCGATAATCTACAGAATGGGAGAAAATATTTGCAAAACTGTACATCTGATAAAGTTCCTATCCAGAATTACATAAGGAACTCAAGTCAAAAGCACAAAAACAAATAATCCAATTTAAAATGGGCAAGCTTTGCGCAGTGGCAGTATCGTAGCCAATGAGGTTTATCCGAGGCACGATTATTGCTAATTGAAAACAATTTAAAATGGGCAATTAGACCTAAATAGATATTTTTCAAAAGAAACAAGAAAAGAGAATAAATACTGGCAAGGCATGATGGGAAGGGACCCCTTGCATTCTGCGGGTGGGAATGTAAATTAGTACAGACATTATGGAAAACAGTAGAGTGATTCCTCAGAAACTTAAAAACAGAACTACCACATGATCCAGCAATCCATTACTGGGTATATAGCCAAAGGAAATGAAATCAATATGTCAAAGAGACATCTGCACTCTCAGGTTAATTGCAGTACTATTTAAAACATGGCAACAATCTAGGGGGCCATCAGTGGATAAACGGATAAAGAAAATGTTGTATATATGCACAATAGAATATTATTTAGCCATAAAAGGGTGAAACCCTGTCATTTGCAACAATGTGGAAATGGAAACATGGTGTGAACTGAAATAAGCCAGACATAGAAAATGAAATACTGTATGATCTCACTCATATGTAGACTCTCCAACAGTTGGGCTTGTAGAAGAAGACAGTACTATAGGGGTCACCAGAGGTTGGGAGAGCAGGGAGAGTGCAGGGGAAAGAGAGAGACGGAGAAAAGTTGGTCAAGTGGTTACTCAGTTGCAGTTCAACAGGAGAAGTAAGTCCTGCTTCTAGGGTGCCTACAGGTAATGATGTCTTCTGTATTTCAAAGAACCTAGAAGAAAGGATTCGGAATGTTTTTACCAAAAAGCAATGACAAATGTTTGAAGAAACAGATATGCTCTTCCTGACTTAAACATTACACAGTGTATGTACATGTATTAAAAAATCACATGGTGCCATGTAACTATGTGTAATTTTATGTATTAATTGAGAATGCATTTAAAATCCCATGTGAAGCCTTGGATTTGGTCCCTAGCAATGCACACAATATATATATTCTCTTTTTAAAAAAAATTTAAAAGTTATTCAAAGTATGTTCTTATCAGAGATTTGCTTTCTTTGTATATTATAGAAATATAGAACAATAGTCCTTTACTACGTTGCCCTGAATTAAGCCTTTGAAATATGCTAGAAGCTGAGTATAGAAATGACCATACTTTGCAGAAGTCAAAAGACAGGTCTATGAAGATTGATAGTACAGTGCAAATCAGGAATCAAGCAAGCTCTCTGAGAACACAGAAGACCGAGGGACAGTTTCAGGAAGGCACTCAGCGGTGGTGTCCTTTGATCCCTTTGCAGTGTGGGAACTCATCAGGTGAGTAAGAAGGGCCTGGGTGCAGGAAGGGAGAGGGTCTTCCTGGCATGGGGAGGATGAATGAGGGCAAGGATGAAGGACTATCGAACAGGTGAAAGAATCAAAGAGTCTGGGATGTGGGTTACACGCATGTGCACAAAGAAAGATTCAAGTGGACAGATGGGCTGATTGTAAGGAGCTTTAGGGGCTGGGGATTTAGCTCAGTGGCAAAGCGCCTGCCTGGCA